AAAATTTGTTACATAAAGTTAAAAATTTATAATACCTAGCATCTTAAGCATTTAGTGAAAATCTGGTCTCTCAAATTTAAATCTAAGGCATTTTTTAAGTTGCTCTTCTACGTAAAAAAGGTAGCTAGTTTTGCATTATCACAAAAGAGTGGTCCATAAGCTCCCGCCATTGCGAGATCTGAAGAGGGTCAAATATACTCAACTAATTTTGCATTATCAAATACCTCTAATAGAGGAATCACTTGATCTTTTCAGATTTCAATACTCAACAAGGTTATCAAACATTTTTGTTAGTTATCATCAAAGCCACAGACTTGAGTAGTCAAGTGTAAAGATTATTAGCATGTATCAAACATGGTTCAAAGAATTGGTCGAGTCTGATATGACATGTTTCGTAACCATACGTTCCACGTTCCATGTAAATTATGAGTCTCGGTTAACTTGTTGCCTCAGTCGGAGATGTTTAGGGTGACTTATACCAAGGTTACCTGGATCGCTGGTTGATTTGTTACATGTTATGAACATGGTTCGGGGCACATTAGTTTCTCCAGTGCGCGATCCAATCGTGTAGACTTGGTTGGTACGCAACTTTAGATCGTGGTTTGTTTTGGATTCTTATCCAGACCATTTCCACTATTATAATAAATTATATATAGTTACGCTTATATACACATAATTAGTGACTATTAATTTTATACCAGAGAGAGTTTTGAATCAAGGATTAAAATTTCGTTTTAGTCCATTATTTAAGTCACTTAGGAAAATAAAGTGTTACGGAAACATAATGGAGACGAATAAAAGGCTTGAGAATTTAATTCCCAAACATTGGTCAAGATATATCAAAACATCTTAAAACACTTCGAAACATTAGTGGAAATATGCTGAAATACCTCAAAACAATCTGAAACGCCTCAAAAAACCCTACAACATTGAAATTTTGATTCCTTTGTTGATTTGTTTTAGTCTCTTTGAAAACGAAAACGGATACGTTTCAACCGTTTCAAAATAAAATTTTAATCCTTGTTTTAAATATTCTTTTAATTATACATGTATAATCAATACTTTAGATCGATGGTAATGATAAATAGGATATAATAGACATGACCGATAAAGGGCTTTAGATCAATACGCAGTTTTGAATATATCGGATTGTAATTTCCAAAAAAATTAAAAAATCTGAAAACGAATGTATAGGGCTACATGTAATCCTGTAGGCATGAATAGGGCAGCCCACTTGTCTACCTAATTAATAAGCCCTATGGGTAGTTTTGACCTTTTTACCCCAAGTATGTTTTCTTGTCATATAACATAAGGGGATGTTTTTAACTTTTCATCCAAACAAATACTTTGATAATTGATAGGTCACTTTTCTAGGTCTAGAATCACTAGACAACCCTTGTAGCCTTTAGGTCTAGAATTACGTCGAGTTTTCAAAGAGACAACCTTCCCATAGACAAAAATTTAGACAGACAAAAACAAATTTTTACAAGCTAACTTCACGCTCAATGCAATCGACTCAAAATTGAGAGATGATTGTCAATCGAGCCATTGAGAGAGTGGATGATATCATATCACTATCTCAATTGATGAAGAGACAATGGAGAGCATTGTTTGAAGCATGATTCAAAGGGCTATGTGTGATCCTTTGAGTTAGACTATGGAGTAATTAGGGTTAAGAAGAAGAAGAGAAGGAACTAAGAGAAGAGTATAATGTGTTAAGGTTACACAATATATATATATATACACACACACATAAGCATAACCACAAGATTACCAAAATACCCTCAAGCTGAAAATAAATAACATAACATTCCCTCTCAAATTGGTGCATAGATATCTCTCACACACAACTTGAAAACAATAGGATGAAAAAACATCCTATTAAGCCCCTTTGTGAAAACATCAGTCAAGTGATTTCACAAAGTGCACGTAAACTAAACTCTTGCTCAGCTTCCTTTTAATGAAGTGTCGATCAATTTCAACATATTTAGTTACATCATGTGAAACTGAATTGTGTGTTAAATTTCTTATTTTGTATTATTAGTAGTGTAGGGTAATAATATTATTAGTCATAACCAAACCAAAACAAACTAAGCCTTATATCCCAATCATTTGGGGTCGGCTATATGATGTAATAATATAATTAGTCATAATATCAGTTTATTGTAAATAAAAGGGTTTAGGGCAACACACCTACTGCACAAGATGTATTCTTCTCCCAACTTTCTTTCCTCTTCTTCTCTTTTTCTTCTTTTTTTCTCCTTCATAAACCCTAATATCAATTTTACTAATTTAACTTGATACCAGAGCAACAATTTTAGGCAAAAAGGCCCATAAAAACAGCACAAGGAAAAAAAATAGATATGCTTCATTGCTGACATCAGCACTGGAATATTGATGTCATCACTTTCTAGAGATGGCAAACCTACCTCTAGGGTTGACTTGGTGCCCCCATATATATGGTAATTTTTGCAGATTTCTGTAAAGCCATCTGAATAGACTTTTCAGTTTTTAAATTTTTTTTAGAGATTTTGGGTTCTATTTCTTTGGTTTGATTTTTGAAAGCCTTATGAAGTTTTTTGTTGCTCGTATCCACATTAGAGGGGTCCGACTAGGACTGTTGTAGTGCTATGTGTTTGATCCATCTCAGTTTGGCTGAGTTTGTGGTGGTTTTTTTGTGGATCTACAGTTCAGTATTATTACCGATACTGGTCTGAGTTGTTCCATTGGGCTGTGACTTGTTTTGCTGCTCTATGAGGTGCGACTAGGGCTTAGCTGAAACTTTATAAGATGCTCACAACTCTTTTGTATAGTTTTTGATGTGATTTTGTCCCAATTCTAGGCTTTAGTTTTTCGACACATATATAGTGACCGACAATTGTTCAAGTTTCGACTCCGCCTCTTTTTTTGGACCATCGGAGATGTGCTCCAAGCACCTAGGTGTGGATTGTTCTAGTGGGTTGGGACTCCATTACCCCAGTCCGTCAGGAAGGCTAATTTGAGTTATGTTATCAACCATTTGTTGCTTTTTTAGTGTGTTCGTCATTTTTTTTTTTTTTTTGCCTTATTTTGGTTTCTGGATTTTGAGTTCTTGGTGGGGGTAAAGGATTTGTGATGGGTTCACTTCAGCACATTACTTTGCTATGTTTGATCCTACTATCTGTTCACATCTGGTTGTGAATTGCATTTCTGAAATCTAGAGTACAGATTTAGGTATTTGGCTTGGTAATTTCTACATTAATATATATGATTGTTGACCCTTAGTCGATTGCATAATCAATTGTGGATTTCTCGATGGTGACTTTGAACACTAGTAATGGGGGCGTTCGTCGTGGTGGTCTTGAACCGTCCCATATTATCAGTCGTGATGGTCTATACACAAGATGTTCTATATATACCTCCTCCTCCAAGTCTCCATGGAAAAAAACATTCTTCACATCCAACTGTTGCAGGCTCAAAAGTACCTATCAAAGTAAAATAGTGGTATTTGGAGCAGAAAAAGGGCCAACAGTGGCCAAAACTTTCCGTCAGCAAAAAAAAAAAAGCCAAAATCCACTCTAAAGTGTAACAAATACCCCCAGGCATCATAGATCGACCCTAGTCAAGCCTCACTAAGAATATCTGAACCAAGAAAAAGCCTCAAATCAGGCCAAAAAACCAAATATGAAAGCCCATACTGTAGTCGAGGCTCAAAATTGCCCAAAAATCATCTCAAAACCCATCAAACTTCAACATAACTGCAGGAATGTTGTAGATCCAACCCATTTGCACCTTACCCAAGCACAAGAAAAAAAAAGAGAAAAAAATTGATGTGGTTCGTTGTTGATTTCAGTGCTAAAATGCTAATGTCATCATTTTTCCGCGACGAAAAACCTACCCACTGGGTCGACTTGGTGCTCTCATATTTATGATGATTTTTACAGATTTTTTTTGAAGCCATATAAATAGACTTTTCATTTTTTATTTTTTTATTTTGGGAGATTTTGGGTTCAATTTCTTCAAATTGGTTTTCGGAAGCCTTCTAAAGTTTTCTATGCTTGCATCAACATCAGAGTGGTACGACTAGGTTTGTCAAAGTGCTCTATGGTTGACTCATCTCCATTTGGCTGAGTTTGCAGTAGTTTTTCAGTGGATCTACAACTCAATACATGGTTCAAAGTATCAATCAATACTGCGATGAGTTGGTCAAGTCGTATTTGACTCCGTATCTTTCGAAACAATACTGTTACACGATACGTATAGACCCCAAGTTGTATAAGTTGTATCTAAGTCAATCTCGAATCGCCAAATTATCATAACCAAATCGATCATTACAATTCTATAACGCCACGATATGACCTAAATCTCTCTAGATACTACGCTATGACCGATGTGTAGCCCTCCGAGTCGATGACCGATACCACGATCTTGAATCATGGTGCCTCAGTAGTATTACCAATACTACTTAAGCAATATTTGAGTTATTTCTTTTGTGTTGTGACCTAGTTTGCAGCTCAGTGAGGTGCGACTAGGGCCTAACAGAAGCTTGGTGAGATGCCCACACCTCTTTGGTAGTTTTTTGCCATGATTTTGTGCCAATTCTGGGCTTGGGTCACTTTTTCGACACATGTACAGTGATCGGCGATTGTTCAGGTTTCGACTTTGCCTCTTTTTTGACCATATGGGTGTGGATTGTTCCGGTGGGTTAGGACTCCACCGCCCCAATCTATTGGGAAGGCTAATTTGAGTTGTAATCGACCATTTGTTGTGTTTTTGTTGTTTTTTTTTTGCCTTTATTTTGGTTTATGGATTGTGGGTTCTTAGTTGTGGATTAGGATTTGTGGTGGGTTCACTTCAGCACACTGTTTTGCGAAGTTCAATCCTACTATCTGTTTACATCTAGTTGCGAATTGAATTCTTGAAATCTTTGGTTCAAATTTAGGTATTTTCTAAATAATTTCTACACTAGTTTATGTGATTGTTGAAGCATAGTAGATTGCATAATCAATGTGGATTTCTCGATGGTGACTTTGAATGGTAGTGATGGCAGTGTTCATCGTGATAGTCGTGAGTCGTCCCATAATGTCAGTCATGGTAGCCATACACATGACACTCCATACATAACTCATCCTTCAAGTCTCTATGGAGAAAAGAATTCTTCACATCCAAATGCTGCAAGCTCAACAGTAGCTATCAAAGTAAAATGGTGGTGTTCGGCGCAGAAAAAGGGTCAACAATGGCCAAAACTAACTGCTGGCAGAAAAAAAAAGGCCAAAAACCTCGCAAATCCTTACAAATCTATTCTAAAGTGCAACAAAAACCCCGGGTATCATAGATCGGCGCCAGCCGAGCCTCGCTAAGAATATCTAAATCGAAAAAAAGCTCAACTCTAGCAAAAAAATCAAATCTGAGAACCCATACTATAGGTTTGTAGCCGAGCTTCAAAATTGTCAAGAAATCATCTCAAAACCCATCAAACTTAACAAAACTGCATGGATGTTGTAGATCCAAACCATTCGTACCTTACCCAATAAGATTGAGCCAAAAAAGATAGTCGCAAAGAGCAAAAATCGCAGACCTAAGGTATGTAGTCGAAAAAACCAAAAAATTTCAAAAATTTGAAACCTCTTTCAGATGATTTAAAAAATTTCAAGAAAATACCCTAAAATTTAGCAAATTGAGTCGATCAATCCAAGAAAAAATCGCAAATTTCTGACACTATTCATGCATTAACATGTCCAATGGTGACATCTACAACCAAAAAATGACATCAACAGTTGAAAAAATAGTGTCAACTCCTTTTTTCAAATCCAATAATTTCCTACGATTTCTAACAACTTTGAGGTTTTGGATCATTGCTCTGATACCAAGTTAGATTGTGGATTAATTAGGATTAGGAAGAAAAGAAAAGATTATAAAGTAGAAGAAGAAAAGAGAAATGCCCCAAGTCAGTTGACTGATACTGAGACCTTAAACCATGGTGTGGCTTCCACCAAGCTGCATTAAGGCCTTTTTCCCTCTGTCCCTTTCAGGAAGTCAACGAAAGGGAAAAGTTCTAATGGAAACTCGAGACTTTCATCCGAACAAACCACTATGACACCAGCTTCGTTGAAACCATCCAATTTCAATTATAATCTTATCGTACTTCCCGCAAAACTAAATCTTCCGACTAAATTGCAATATTGTTAGGATCTTCATCATATAGATACTGTCCAATAAGATGTTGTGTCTAATAAGATGTTAATTGGTTGAGATGGAATAAATCCATATTTTCTAGATAAGTGACGTGACATAACACCTTCACCAATCATTTTGCTTCAAGTAAGCCTTTGAGACTCTAATCCATTCTAGTGTTATCATTACACAGGCGATACAACCCTCTGAAGCATTAAAAATCATTCTCTGCTGAACAAATGTACAAGCACACAAAAAGTTAAGGCAAGTATCTAGATTAATGGTTAAAAGTCCTTTTTTAATTGTGCAATAAGTATCTCAAAATTCTAAAGATGGTCAAACTCCAAGGCACAAAGCAGCACATTATGACTTTACATGGAAAACATAAATAATTTGATAAAAAGAAAATGACAGATAGAAATAGATGCAATGCAACAGCTGGTAAGCTTAAATTACTGAGGTTCAAAGGAATAAGCTTACCTGTAGTGAAAGAATAACATTTACAGAATCATACAATTTCTTTGCATCTAGTGGTTCACCAACAATTTCTGATGGCAATTTTGCTAGTAAAAGAACTGCCTGTTGAAGAAATGAAATATATATTACTCAAGAAATTCCATAAGCAAACCAAACTATTTCAGGTTTGGCTGATTATTACTTTCAATCCCTCTGCTGTGCAATCAGATATGGGCCATCCATGATCTGCAGTTGAGAAGGGCCAGGCACCTTTTGAAATGTGACGATACCAGGAATCAAGATTGCCTGGGCAATCATCTAACACCTTTAAAGCAAAGGAAAGGCAGTTACAGCAAATAGACATGTAGGAATAAGTTATCAAGGTATCAGTAGAAGGGACACGATAAAAATAATATCATGAGTTTTACCTGTGAGCTTTTGATGTACATATGTGCTTTACTTAAAGTTGGACCATATTCTTCACCAAGGTTCGTGGAAATAATTGCTTGAACAGCAAAAGCAGTGTCCCATAATTGACTGCCATTATAACCCTGTGATAGATTGCTAAGTCTGCCTTAGATTGTTAAAACCTTTGCAATTGTCATAAAGTTGAAATAAATACGCTTGAACGGTAAAAATAATAATATGGTCCGAACGGGAAATAATTTTCAGAGAACAGCATTATCTCTAGACCTGCATTTTCATGCCATCTTCTGCAAGCCACAGATAATCATATATTCTTGGGATGTGCAACTTGAAAGCCTCTGAGTTTGGATCTTCCACCCAACAGCAAAGCATGTTTAACACCTGAATACCAAAGTTAAGTTTCAGAAAAAGATCGGGCAAGGGGGACTGGCTAAAATTAGCAATCTCAATCTCTAATTCCCTATTTTAGAGACATCACCTAGAGAACAAAAAAAGCTTGTACTAGTGACAGAAAGCATTTCACCATGAATTCAGCATCTGATGAAAGGGAGTAACTACAATGAAATATGGCAATTCAAATTTTCCCAGTAAAAGTTCTGGAACATAGAACTAAAGAATCTGACAGATTAATATTGAGTACTGTTTTTACATAGTCGTTAGTTAAGAGGCATCTTCAACTTTACTCTCGGCTTTCCACTGGATAGGCAAAAATTTTCAAGACAACAAAAGCATACCACTAGAAGCTTTTTATGCTTACCTTGTTTACAGGGCCAATGCATATATAGCGAGTGTTTTCATCTTCGTAATGTATGTGCTCCATCACTGTTTGAAGAGCCTTCTCCCTCAACTTTTTTCCAGGCCAACGTATTAGAATAGGTTCCAAGAGCTTGTCAAGAGATGCCCAAAGTAGGTCTTGTACAAGAGGGTGTGGATAGTACAGGTCTTCCTGCAAAACGTAATGAATCCACTTGTCTGAGAAGTAGGAACAGAATAAAACCAAAAAACACATGCCAAGCAGGAGTATGTCTGTCACTGTTTTATTAAAAACAAAAACATAGACTTGATCAGCATTTGAGGCAACATGCACGAGTAATACTACCAGGCCTGACTGAACATCTCTGGAAATAATACTAGTCCAAAATCAAATGAATAACTTCCAGCAGCTGACCGACAATGTGTGCAGTGAAGTTTGATTTAAGATAAAAGTTTATGCAGTGAGCAAGAAGAATACCTATCAAAAAAATTAAGAAAAAGAAATAACAAACAATACAGAATCCTGAGCCATAAATCTGCAGCAGACTCCTGGTGTCAACGCCAATCAAAAGAGTAACCTCAGAATACAAGAAAGCATAAACTCATGAAGCGGAAATGATAGAAGTTATAACCTAACAACAGTCAACTTCTAACAAAATGTGTGCTAAGAGTTTGGAACCTAGCCGCGGATGCATTTTAGTTGTTTTAACTGCTTTTAAACTCAAATTTCAGCATTAACCTAACTGGCAGGGATTCACTACAGTAAGCAATGAGCATTCCTATTCCAATAAAATTGGACAAAAGCTTTACAATGATCTGCCATACGCAGCATTCAGCCAGGCTTGTGACTAATGATGCAGAGACTAGCTGAGTTTCTAAATCACTTATATAATTTCCTCCAAAAATCGAGGAAAGGAAAGCTCCAAATAATTCAAACTCATTTTCACTTTGAGATTATCTCGTTTAAAATAAGCATTGAGCATGCAGTTCAGTAGCATACATAAGGTTCGTACACATTTCATGCAAAACATTGTAGGGGGTAATTACACGACAGGCTTGTACTTTGATATGGTTAAATATCACACCCCACTCAACTATGATTTTTGTGACACTAAATCTCAATCATCTTGCAACTAAAGTTCAAAAGTAACACTTTCCGGTAGATCTAACAGCGTGTATTACACGAGTCACCAACACTGTACTTTATTGAAATAAATACTCACAACCGATTTTTTTGAAGAATCAAAATGACATGTTTACCCTCGTTATGTTTTCTCATTCATTGTCTTGCTGTCCTCTATACTGTTGATTGACTGAATCACCACCACTCCGCCCACCCACGCCCACCATCACCAGCTTTCCTCCAAATAAAATTCTCACATAAAGCAAATTCACAACCACATTATTTTTTTTATAAATCAACAAAACACCTTTCTTTAATAATGCAAAAGGATTGCATGAAAGACTAGACTTCTTTCAATAAAACTAGCACACAAGTAAACATAAACATTAAACTACAAACTCCATATCACACACGATTTCCAAACCACCTAATTAAGAACAAAGGAATTCCGGAAACATGAGGGCGCACGGCACCCAAAACCCAAAAGGAAACCAAGAAGTATATCCTTTCCCAAATGCAATCCACCTCTTCCATTTTGTATTCAAAAATTCTTATATTTCTCTCAAGCCAAATACCCCCAAATATAGCCATCGCCACATCCAAAGGGATTTAGCTCTTTAACACCTTTCAAAATTCCAAAACCCAATTTCAAGCATTTCCTAGTAAGAACTGGTGCAATCTAACACCACTCCAGTAATCCAAAAAATCTACTCCATAGAGCAAAGGCAAAAGGAGAGGGAAGGACAAGATGATCAATCCTCTCCTCACTCCTTTTTGCATATACGGCACCATTGTGGAGCAAAGAGAGATTAAGCCTCCTCTTTTCAAGTAAGTCATTGATATTAATTTTCTTTTGAGCAAAAGTCCAGTAAAAAAACTTGAACTTTAATGGGCACTTTCACTTTCGAAATCATCTTATAAGGTTCAAATTATGGTAATGAGAGATCATCAATTGGGATGTCAAAACAAGATTTGCAAGATAACTCCATGGATGAAAGAATAGCCCATCCCTCCTATCACAAGTATTTTGTGTAAGCGTAACTCCCTCAAATACAGATAATGAAGAGCAAAGTTCAACAATCTTCGTATCATTTGAGGTTTCTAATGAAATTAAAGTTCCAACCGAAGGGAAATGAACAGCAAGAGACTATAGAGACAGTTGAACCATAATGAGAGCGGCAGAGACAGCGCAAGCGAGGAAGTTTGTGGAGTTTTATGGATTTGAAGGGATGGACAATGTGATTTCTGCTCCAATAGGTCGCGTCGGCAATGAGTTTTTGCTTATTTCTATGATTTTCAGGCTTGATTAGATGCTTTTTAAGATAGTAGTTGTGTTTCTTGTTGATTCTTTGGTCTATTCGGCATCCATCTGGGATAGACACAATCTATCAGAAACAATCAAAAGGTGTTGCAAGACAGATTGGAGTT